GTGTTTGTCGTTTGCGACTGCTGTTGCACTTCGGCAATTGTCGTAACCGTTACTGGCTGCAACATGCTCGTCCCATGTTCACTTTCGTTCTGCATACTAAGTTCTGCCTTCACCCGACGCGCTATGTGAGAGCGCGTGTGTTTGCGCAGATGGTCTTTTCGATAGAAGCCCTTGCCACATTCGTGACACAAGTGTCGCTTCTCTCCTGAGTGTATCACAAAATGCAAGCTAAGTTGCTCTTTTCGTTTGAAAGCCTTTAGACAAACTGTACAGATGTACGGTCTTTCCGGATTATGCGATTGTTTGTGACGCGTCAGATGATCTTTTCGCTTCAAGGCCGCTTGGCAAATGTCGCATATATAACGTCGCTCCAGATTGTGCCCCACCAAATGGATCTCGAGCAGATCGGGCTCGGGATATGCGACTTGACATTCGGGGCACAAGTATAATGGGCTTCCGTCTAGCGCTGTGGTTAATCGAATTTCCCCCGGGCGCAATTTCGGTTTGCGGTCCTTCGGGCGCTTCTTACGTTTCTTCTTTTTCGAAGTAGTTGTTGCGCTGGCAGCGGCTGACGTTGAGGCCAATACAACAGCACCGCTGGTCGACGCGTGTGTCTGCAAATGGACTGTGGTCGTTGCTTGTTGTTGTTGTTGCTGCTGCTGCTGTTGTAGTTGTTGCTGTTGTAATTGTTGTTGTTGTGTCTGCTGTTGCTGTTGCATTTGTGCTGTCGTTTGCTGTTGAGGTATTGTAATGGTTGTTGTTCCGCCTATGGTATTAATGCCAATGGGTGGCCCAGTTTGTACCTGTAAAACATGTTGGCCCAAAAACATTGCTCCTTTATCAAATACTGTGTCCCCGAAAAATGTGGTATACTTACTACGCCTTGATTTTCTTTCTTTATCGTCTCCGCTGAATACTTGAGGAAATGATGTAACGACAATGGCAGCGTATTGGCTGGAAGATGGGAGAGGTAATCAGCTACTGTGGTACCTGGTGTTAGCGATTGCCATGAAGTATTTTGTAGAACTACAGAAATATATATGCAAGAAGAAGAATTTTTAATAAAAGTCGTTATTGTAATCTAGGATAGGAAATTACGAATTCACAATTTGTCGGTTTCAATTTTGTCTGCGCTTTTCCGGTCCTTCGTTTTTGGTGAGTTTTTTTTTTGTGTTTGTTTAAACTATAAGCAATTAGTAATTGAACAATGCAGATTATTGCGGAATCCTGGCTTTAATTGTGATGAACATGTAAACTAGACACATTTTGAGAATACTTGCACCCTTTAACACTGGTTAACATTAACAGGTTAACTAAGTCACTACCAAATTTCGACCAGAAGTGATTACAATTTCCCTGCAATTTGTCATACAATTAATATTACCGATACTGCTGCCCTGCATTCCAATATTTGCTATTGCTAATTTTGATCGCCAAAAATCTCCAAAAGAATAGCACGCAACATCTAGTTACATATATGCCCCTCATACTGTCAGATTTGGCTGACTTCACATTGCAGCTATTACTTTTCCATTCAGTATACTGGCATGGGCAGAGAACGAGCACACGCTCAAAGAGCATAACCATCACGTGTACGTATAAAACAGAGGTGGGCACTACCACAAATAACCCCACAGTACGGGGGAGCGACTACAGGACTGATGAATCGGTAGCTACCTGATAAACTCCGTCAATTACCGACCGACTACTTGCAGTGTATTTCATCGATTATTTTTACAAGGCAATGTCCTAGACGGTAGTCACCATCGGCCCTCTCTGCACTACTGGGAGTTACTAAAGTACTCACTTGCGTGATTTATGGGCGCCCTCTGGCGTAGTTTTTCGCTTTCCCTGCAGTACGGAAAACCTGAAATTCGCCTACTAAAGCGTAAGCGCGGTCTGAGACCTAGGCCGTTCTAACCGTAGAGGCAGTATACATACGCCCTGAAACTTGTTCCTTGGAAAGCCTTCTCAATGCAATACCATCGACAAAAAGCAGCTTTTAGGCGTGCCAAAGTTTTAAGTTATTTTTTCTTACCGCTTATAAGAACGAAATTAAAGGTTGTATTTGTATATAAGATATATTTAAATAAAAAGGTGTTTCTCTTTAATCAAGGCATGGCAAAACCCACTAGGTGTAGCACAGCACTGGGCACAGTCGACCGGAAGGAACGTGCGAGCCTAGTGCTC